TGAGATTCAAAATGGCGGCTGGCCACTATGAAGACAAAAGGCCCCCTAGAGTGGTGAGACCATGTGGCTGAGATCACATGTAGATGTTAAGTTTGAGGTGTTGGTGCCAGGTTAAAGAAAGTAGTTAGATGCATGCAAAGGAAGTGATCAGCATAACAGAACTAACATTAACTTTCAAATAACATATTACCAAATATCACAACAACACAAGTCAAACATCACATGAAATAGAAATAGGATTAAACATGGTTCATGGGGCACACAGTGACCAATAGTGGTTGAGAGTTGTCTCCAGGAGCAGTTTGACCACCTATGTGTGAAGATGAAGCACCCTGGGAGACTGAGTTCTGGAAGCTCTTCTTTGTCTCCAGAACAAAGGAGACATGCGGTCAGGCTTTTGACTACACATGTAGGCCCAGCTATGGTTCACAGATACCAGGTCCCAACGAAAGAAAGACAAAAAAGATAGAATTCCACTATGCATGTGACATTTAATCAAAGTGTAAACACCAACATTCAAATCTGACATGAAAATATATTATTTACACTGTGTTTTAAGTCTAAATTAGGGCCAAAAATTGGGCATGGGATTAGGGCATAGCACATTGATTTTACAAATTTGGCACCACATTAACTGTATCACTTACCACCTTTTACATTTTCCCTTTCCCCTTCCAGATTCTGATTCGCTCTGCAAATCCGAGTTCATCTCGGACTGCAAAAGCTTGTCCCTTGCAGTGGTATAGTTTGCTGCAACACATAAACACAAAAACATAAAAAATCAGAAACATGCATTATGTATAATTTGGAACATAAATATCATCACTATTGTCACTCAAAAAACAATGGTACATTACCCGCTTTTCCAAAACTACTGACTTTGAACTGTGGCCAGTCTATTTAATAAGCTGCTCCTTTACTTCTTTATTTATGTTGACTCGTCCTGGTGGCCAGCGGCAACAGTCTTCCTCTTGTCCAAGCCATTTGCATGGCACAATAGCCACACCTCCACCATCCAAAAAATCCACCACTGCAAATGGACGCATGCTGGAACATATTAAAAAAAAGCATGCTAGTGCAGCTGTGGCAATGCAACATATCCAGATTTTAATGGCAAGAGGACCATTTTCTTTTGTAATTCCTCAATGGATACATGCAAATTTTTAGATAACTTCGAGGCATGAACTGCCTAAATATAAACAGCACATTAAGTGTCCCACTAGGGACACAAACACTCTGGACCATTCTTAAACTGTTTTAAAGGACCCATACCACTCTGTACCCCGTGCAGCCTTGGGACTCTCTGATCACTGCATGGTTCATCTTATCCCAACCTACAGGCAGAAGCTGAAATCCGCTAAGTCTGTGGTCAAGACGGTGAGGAGATGGACCGATGACGCCATAGTGGAATTACAAGCCTGCTTCGACTGCACTGATTGGAGTGTTTTTGAGGCTGCAGCCTCAGACTTGCATGAACTGACTGATACTGTGACATCATACATCAGCTTTTGTGAGGACGTGTGTGCCCACCAAGACCTTCTGCACATACAAGAACAACAAACCCTGGTTCACTGCAAAACTCAGGCAGCTCCGTCAGGCCAAGGAGGAGGCCTACAGAAATGGGGACAGAGTCCTGTACAACCAGGCCAGAAACCCACTGACTACCAAGGTGAAAGCAGCTAAGAGGAGCTACGCTGAAAAGATCAAAACAGCCTTTCAGCCAATGGTCGGGCGTCAGCGTGGAGAGGCCTGCAGAACTTCACAAACTACAGGAGACCATCCCCCAACACTGCAGTGAACAATCAACTGGCTGACGAGCTGAATGTGTTTTACTGCGGATTCGACTCATTCACCCCCCCCCCCCCCCCTGTGAAGACGATGTTTGTCAGCTTTTCCACAGACAGAAGATCAGGAAGGCACCCAGCCCAGACGGTGTGTCACCCTCCTGTCTGAAGGTCTGTGCTGACCAGCTGGCCCCCATCTTCACCCAGATCTTCAACAGATCCGTGGAGCTGTGCGAAGTCCCCTCATGCTTCAAACTCTCCACAATAATCCCGGTCCCCAAGAAACCCACAATCACAGGACTGAATGACTTCAGGCCTGTCGCCCTCACGTCTGTATTCATGAAGTCCTTCGAAAGACAGGCATTGTCGCACCTGAAGGACTTCACAGACCCCTGCTGGACCCCCTGCAGTTTGCCTGCTGGGCAAACAGGTCAGTGTATGATGCTGTCAACATGGGACTGCACTACATCCTGGAACACCTCGACTCTGCAGGGACGTACGCCAGAATCCTGTTTGTGGACTTCAGTTAGGCGTTCAACACCATTGTTCCAGACATCCTTCACACCAAGCTCACCCAGCTCACTGTGCCCTCCTCCACCTGTCAGTGGATTACAAACTTCCTGACCGACAGGAAGCAGCAGGTGAGGTTGAGGAGCATCACATCCAGCACCCGGACTCAGCACTGGCGCCCCACAGGGGTGTGTACTCTCCCCACTGCTCTTCTCCCTTTACACCAACGACTGCACCTCTAAAGAACCGTCTGTTAAACTCCTGAAATTTGCAGACGACACAACGATCATCGGCCTTATTCAGGACAGTGTTGAGTCTGCTTACAGACAGGAGGTTGAACAGCTTGTCTGCTGGTGTGGTCAGAAAAATCTGGAGCTGAACACGTTCAAAACTGTGGAGATGACAATGGACTTTAGGAGATGCCCCCCACTCTGCTGCCCATCACCAACAACTCTGTGACTGCTGTTGAAACAAGTTTCTGGGCTCCACAATCTCCCGGGACCTGAAGTGGGAGACCAACACAGTCACTATCATCAAAAAGGCCCAGCAGAGGTTGTACTTCCTGCACCAGCTCAGGAAGCTCAACCTGTCTAAGGAGCTGCTGTCACAATTCTACTTTGCCATCATTCAGTCTGTTCTCTGCTCCTCAATCACTGTTTGGTTTGGATCAGGCACAAAACAGCAAAAGAACAGACTGCAATGGACAATAAGGTCTGCAGAGACAATTATTGGTGTCAGCCTGCCCTCCATCCAGGACCTGTACCTGTCCAGAGTCAGGAAATGGGCAGGTAACATCTCTGTAGACCCATCACACCCTGAATACAAACTGTTTAAACTTCTCCCCTCCGGAAGGCGCTAAAGAACACTGTACGCCAAAACATCCCTAAATAAGAACAGTTTTTTCCCTCAGGCTGTCTCACAGCTAAAACCGGACTCAAATATCAGTAACATCACGGGTAAAATATCTATACATACAATATACTGTGCACACTGTATATGTATATTTATTATTTCATCCATGCACTATGCACCATTGCACCAACTATTTAGCTTTTTTGTACAATTACATAGCTTTTGTTTTTGTTTTGTTTTTTGTTAACTGTTTGTACTAAGAGAGCAAAGTAAAACTGGAGTCAAATTCCTCGTGTGTGTTCACATACCTGGCAATAAAAGTGATTCTGATTCTGATTCATACACACAGTCCTCATTCTTGTGAAACTCCATTTCTTCCTGAAAAGACAAGATAATCAAAATTGTGTGTGGTGTACATGTATGTATGTATGTATGTATGTATGCATGCGTGCATGTGAATATGAATGCGAATTACTTAATTAATCCCCAAAGGGAAATTCTGACAGGAAATGTCTGTCATGTATTGTATGTATTTGTGTATGTA